CTCTCCCCACCCCCGCCTGGCCCAGCCTGGTGCTCCAGGCCGGGGGCCAGCCCTGCTCCCTGCTGACCCTGTTCTCTCTCCCCAAGGGACGCCCTGGCGAGGACCTGCCCTTCCCACTCCCGCTGTGCTGGATGTGCCGCTCCTTCGTCAGCCGGATCGAGGCCACTGTCCCCAAGGTGCTGCACTCCCCCAGGGCAGTGTGGGAGAGACCCCAGAGCTGGTCACTGGCCCCAGCCATGCCCGGGGGATCAGTGAAAAGAGCGAGGCAGGTCTCAGTCCGGCTGCTGCCAGCCTGCAGGGAGATGCCCAGGGCTGAGCAGGGCAGGGGGACGCTCACTCTCCCATGCAGGAGATGCCAGGGGCAAGCGCTCACGCCCTGGCTCCCCCTTGCCATCCCGTGCGACACGGCTCCAGGAGAGCCGCACCCTCCCTGGGCAGGGCACGAGGTGCCATCGGTCGCCCTCAGCGATGGGGCTGCACACGTGGCCCCAGGCAGGACGGGGCTGGCGGAACCCAGAGCGACGGGCGCTGCGGAGCCAGGCTTGGCCGGCTGAGCCGAGGAGCAGGAGGGGCTGAGAACTGGCAGAGACAGCAGCAGGGGTGTCCCCGTCGGGACAAAAGCCCCCCAGGTGGCGTGGGCGGGAATCGGGCCCCCCCATCCCACGGGAAATGCTCATCGTTCAGCCTTTGTTTTGCTCCCAAATCAGAATGAAAATCCAAGAACTTTATGAGCTGAAACGCTCCAGACACAGTTCAGCTGGAGTCAGTTCAACGTTGACACCAAACTGTGTCCCTTGGGCCCGCTCTCTGCTGGGGTGGAACTTGCTGGTCAGACTACATCTCCCATGATGCACCACACAGCTTGGTCAGAAAGCACACCACAGTGCATCATGGGAGATGTAGTCCAAGTAGGGGAGAACTACAACTCCCATGAGGCATCACCATCAGGCAGATGCAGTTTAACTCCATTGTTTGCAGAAACTGCATTTTCTGTTGGAAACTAATTTCAAGGGAAAATTCCGGTCAGACTTTCGCCCCCCGACTGTGAGCCTGGACCTACACTGCCAGGGAACAGGGGTTCTGCTCCGCCCGGAACTGCAGAGTCCAGGCTCAATCTGAGCCACCACCCGCTAGAGAAATGCTTGTATGGCACAAATTGCCTCCTGCCCTAGCAGCTGGAAATGGCAGCTCTGCCCGGGGGCACAGGCCAGGGCAGTGGGGCAGACTTGAGGAGTTTAAACAATGGTATTTTAATAACAAAATATTTTTTCCAGATTTTTTTCTAAGAAAAATAACAATTTTCAATAAAACTTTCTGTGTAAAAATATTTGAGTTTTCTCAAAGCTTTTTGGTTTTTAAAAATGGGAACATTTGGGCTAAACCTTGAACTTCTTTGTTTAAACTTGTTTATTTTAAATCAGGGAATTTTTCATCAAGAAAATGAAAAAAAGGCAGGATGTTTTGGGGGAACCCCCTGTAATTTTCCACAATGTCCAGTAAAAAATAACAGGTCTATGGCAGCTGGCCAGGAGGACCTGCCCCCCCCCCAAGGAGCTGAGAGCTGGGGGTGCCCTTCCCCCAGGAGGCCATCGCCAAGTCCATGGCACAGCTCTGCCGTCTCCTGCCGGGCACCATCGGCGGCGCGTGCCAGTGCCTGATGGAGAAATACACCGTCACCACGCTGGACCTGGTCCTGGACAAGCTGGGCCCGCGGCTGATCTGTGGGATGCTCCTCATGTGCTCCACGGGGGAGAACTACGGCCTGGGTGAGTCCCTGGCCCTGGCCTGCTGCCCCAGCGTGGGGCCGGCGCGGCACCTCGCACTGGAACCCTCTGACCCACAGTGCCCCGGCTCTAGCGCGCTGGCCCCGCTAACTAGAGCTTGGGCCCAGGGGGGTAGGTGGGGCTAGCGACGGGCAGCCCCGAATAGCGGGTGGGGCCCACGAGGCCCTCCCTTACCT